AACTCTATCCTAACCGGTGTGGTGCGGGTTGTCTGACTCCACATTCCTGTGCGTGCGCAAGGGGAAAGGCCGGCAAGAGTTGTCGCAATGAGACAAGCCCAGTCACATCACAGGCATGCCATGGTGGCACATGTGTTTATCCTTGTGCCTCATGGGGGATGTCTTTTGAGGCGCCTCAAAAGGCAAGAGTTGCCGCACCGAGACAAGCCCAGTCACAGCCATGCCATGGTGGCACATGTGGTTATTCCCGTGCAAACAGAAGTGTTTTGAGACGTCTCAAAACGCCATGGTGGCACATGTGGCTATCCTTGTGCCTCGTGGGGGATGTGGCGGGTGAAAATGGTGGAAAATTCGACCGGTGATTGACGGGTGCGGGTATAGCTCACAGGTAGTGAAGGTTGGAGAGGTGAGTAACCCAATCGGGAAACTCGAGAGCAGGAAGATAGTTTAAGCCCCTGCAAGGAAGGAGGCAACAGCAGGGGGAAAAACGATTTCTTTTTAGCCGAATTTACCGTAAAACACAGTATCGAATTAAATTGCTGTCTAAGAACGGATTGATACAGTTTCAGGTGTTAAACATTGCTAGCTTGCAGGATCAACAGTGTTTGCAGGGCGTACAGCGTTCACAGGGCATACAGTGTTTTTTGGGGCGTACAGTGTTCTTTGGGGCATACTGTGTTTTTTGGGGCATACAGTGTTTTTTGGGGCGTACAGTGTTCTTTGGGGCATACAGCGATTTTTGGGGCGTACAGTGTTTTTTGGGGCGTACAGTGTTTTTTGGGGCATACAGCGTTTTGGGGGCGTACAGTGTTTTTTGGGGGCATACAGCGTTTTTGGGGGCATACAGCGTTTTTGGGGGCATACAGCATTTTTGGGGGCATACAGTGTTTTTGGGGGCGTACAGTGTTCGCAGGTTGGTGAGGGAGGAGAGCCAAGCCAGTCCGTCCAGAGTGCCGGTGAGCCTGCTACCATCCAATCCAATCGCACTGACAAGATGCAGTCACACGTGGCATGCATGCCGCAGATCGAGTGCGGTGCATATGTAACATAAAGTGGGAAATGGGAACACATGCCACACAGTTACAGGGTCAGAACCCATTCTTTGGAATAAGCGATGAGAGCAGGAGTACCTGTAAGGGGCACGTTATAAATGGCATGCGATAAGGGACAGGAAATGACGAGTTGAGGTCGTGGAACGGAAGGACTAAGAGCCTCCGGTCTTGAGATGTGGCTGGGAACACTGATCGAGATGGCAAGAGCAGTATCAGGGAGTGCGGAGGAGTGAAAAAGGGCAGTGGATGGGCGTATTGCATGATCCCTAGCCCAACAGTAAGCCATCCTGGTTCGGCGCAAAGGAGGAGGAGCAGCACGCACAGATGGGAGGGAACAAGATCAGGGGGTGCAAGGGTGAAGGAGAAGGGTGGATGGGCCTAGCCTAACAGCAAGCCTCCCTGGTTCAGAGGCATGATGGAAGAGCAGCACGCACAGGTGGGTGGGAGAGGTCGGTGAGACTGCCGAGAAATGGATGACTTTTGAGGTGATTATAGAGTCGACTCAAGAGCCATGGCTAAGAAGTACGAACAGGTGGGTGAGGTCAGTGAGAGGTGCGAGAGATGGAATGGGGCCCTCCAGACTAGTGAAGGTCAGATCACTGTGGGATGGGAAGGCGCAGGAACAACAGTGAAAGTTGAGTATGGAAAAGAGAAACCGAAGGTTGGAGCGGAGTCTTGATATCTATGGCGTTATAAGCGCGGCATGCAATGGCGCGGTGACAAAAGGGTGTGACGTGCGTGCGGTGGTTAGGGAGCTGACTTTTGAGTCGACTCAAAAGGGTGTGACGTGCGTGCGGTGGTTAGGGACGAGATGGAAGGACGTAGCATCACGAGGTTGGGGCGAGGGCTTGGCAAACGAAGGAAAGGGCAAATGAAGAAAGGGCACGACGAATGTAGGAGGGGGAGGGTGGATGGGTGGGAGATTAGTGATGGGGGCAGGCAGGCATGGAGCCAGTGGGGGGAGGATTCATTTCGAATTGTGCGGGGAGAGGGTGGGCGGGTGGTGACGGACAGGTAGTGCAGAGCAGCGAGAGCAGTGATGGAAGTGTTAGTGTTAGCCTTCAATCTCACACTTTGTACTTTGTATTTTCTATATCCTAGAGTAGTGTAGTTTGCACATTGTGTTTGGTTGGGTGTACACCTACATCCCAACCAAACCCAAATGTAATCTCCAAGCAATCTCCAACCCACCAATTGGAGATTGCCTTGGGATTACCCCCAATCCCTAGGGATTGCCCCCGATTCCCTTCCCCATCCATTCCCTCCCCTTCTTGGATGTACTTAAAGAGCTTCAAGCTCATTACTAATGCATCGCTTCTAAGCCTAAGTTCTCACATGGTATCAGAGCCCGTCAACCGCACACGCGGATCGTGATCCTCTTATCTCTGCGGATGTTCATCCCGCAAACCTCGGCGGAACCACCTTCAATCTCATCGCCGGTGATTCGCGACATTCGTGGGCAGAAATTCTCCCGCACCACTTTCCCGTCACTTTCGACGACATCTACTAGTTCACTGGTAAGCGCATCGTCGGCGCTATAACCTATCGCTCGTTTTTTCGTCAACGTCAACGCGTCATTTCTTCTTCTCGTCGGGCCGCCGCCCGTCGCCCCGCATCTTCTCGTCGGGCCGCCGCCCGTCGCCCTGCAGCTTCTCGTCGGGCCGCCGCCCGTCGCCCTGCAGCTTCACCTTCGGGCTGCCGCCCGTCACTCCGCATCTGCACTCCTACCCCCATTTCCCCCCACCTTCCCGCAGCTGAACAGGTGCAGCAGCGCAGCCGAGCAGCCGTGTAGCCGCGAAGCCGAGCAGCAGCGTAGCCGCGAAGCTGAGGGTGGTGTTTGGGGGGGTGTGTGGGATTAGAGTTAGTACTACGGAAATCAGCCGATTCAACCTAATTTCGACGGCCTGAAAAATCTCTCTACAAGGCATTCCGACGCGGCCGACATTGACGATTTCTCCTATTCGGACCCATCGCATTTCGGAATCGCCGCGCTGCGGCGAAGTGACTATCGGTGACTTAAGAGCGGCGCTCCGCGCGAGACATTAAGGGGCCTTCATCATGGCCTACTCCTCGTCCACCATGGCCAACCCCATCACCCCGCTCCGCCTTGAAGCCGATGGCTCTAGCTCCAACTTCAAGGCATGGAGCTACGGGGTTGACAAGCACCTCCTGAGTCGTGACGTGCAGGGATTGGACCTCAAGGACGTTCTCCTCAACCGTGGCAAGGGAAAACAGCCCCCTTCCCCCCTTGAGCCGACCGAATCCGCTAGTGATACTGACATGAGGGCGTACGAGGAAGCTGTTGAGAAGTACCGGAAATGGGAGAAGGCAGATGCTGCTATCATCAGCGTCTTCATTGCCTCCACCCCTCCCAAACTAGTCAACACGTTCCACAACTACCCTACCTCCAACGCCATCTGGAAGTACCTCCAGGATCGGTTCATGAACAAAACGGCGGTCGGAGTTGCCATCCTCATCCCCAGCATGTTCCAGGTCCGCCTTGAGGATTGCTCGGGAATGGCTGACTACATCGCCAAGGTGCAGACTATTCATGGCGAACTGAAGGAGCTGGGCATAGTCTTCCCCGAACAAGCCCCTGCAGCCGCCCTTCTTGTTGGTCTCACCTCGGCATATGAAGTAACGAGGAAGATGCTCCTCACGCTCTCAGCGGAAGACCTCACATTTGCTAAGGTCTCATCCGCACTCCTCTCTGCTGAGAAAGATTCCACGGCTCAAGCCAAGGCTTACGCCATCCGCGCTCCCATGCCGCAAGCAAGTGTCGCATCGGCCCTCGCCTCGGCGCCCTTCCAGCGCAACCGGTTCCCTCCGTGCACCTATGTCGTCAAGTATGGCAACCGCAAGGGACAAGTGTGTGGTGGCACTAACCACCCCCTTGCTACGTGCTTCAAGAAGAAAGACGACGAATGGTATGCCATTCACGGAGTGGACAAGAAGCCGCCAAACTGGATGCGCCCTCGTAAGGCCAACCTAGTTGAGGTCCCGGACCCCGCTTCGGCTAGTGCTAGTGATAGTGCTCCTACTGATGTGCGTATCAACCTGTTGTTTCCTGGCACTGCCATGATTAATGAAGCTTCCTCCCAGTACCTCGGCTCATCACAAGCACCACAATACATAGAGTTCATACTCGACAGTGGCGCCACACACACTGTACTCAAGGAGACACTCTCCTTCAAACCCTACGCAACACCCATCCCTCTCCTAGGAGCTGACTCAAGCTTCACCACTCATGCCAAGGGTTCATCCACAGTCCCGTGCCCCGCCTTCCCTTCCGGCACTGTCACTGGAATGTGCGTGCCTTCACTCCGCTACAATCTCGTGGCCCAAACGGAAGTTCAAGAAGCTGGGCTACGCACCATCTTCTAGGAGAACGAGAACTATGGTGATATCCTCGACCCACTCACCAACAAGGTCTTGACTCGTTTCACCCTCAACAGCAGCGGCCTTTACACGCTGCAAGTACCCATCCCACAGGTGTCAACCACCCAAACAGCGGCGACTACCTCACCATGCTCGTGCAGCAGTTTCTCCAACCCGACCATACTCTACCACCATCGGCTCGGGCACCCAAACTTCCGCACACTTGCTGACATGGCCTCCAAGAAACTTCTACTCGGCCTGCCAGCCTCACTTCCTCCACCACCAGACTCCCCCGCTCCCACGTGCCTTGACTGCACCAAGAGCAAACTGCGTCAACAGCCCCACCCGGCCTCACCCTCTGTCGCAGCAGGACCACTGGACCTGGTACACCTGGACGTCTGGGGCCCTGCCCCTGTTCCCGCACGAGGTGGTTATCGCTACTTCCTTGTTATCGTCGATGACCACTCTCGCTACGTCTCTGTTCACCTCCTCCGCACTAAGGCTGCGGTTCCTTGTTATCGGCAGCATCTGGACTTGACTGCCAGTGACGATCTGCGCTGCACCAACCTCATGTGCCCCAAGGTGAGGCGCGGCGGGGCGAGGTGGGATGAGGTGGGGCGAGGTGGGACGAGGTGGGTGGGGCGGATGGGTCAGTTGGAGCTAAGGGCTAAGGGCTTGCATGTTCTGAAAAGGGTGTGTGTGCGTGCTGCGAAATGTTGGTTGCATTGCATGTCTGTCTGCTCTCATTATCACATGTCACATGGGTGTGTGTTCAATTATCTTGTTACGTGCGCACACCTCCCTCCGCATCCCTGTATTGTCAATCTCTCCAGCCCCCCCCCCACCTCAGTGAGCCCTGCATCTGTTAAATTATCTCTCCTGCACCTTGGACTGCCTGCCCTGCTCCCTCCCCTCCCTGTATTCTCCCTGTATTTTTCCTTTCACCTTCTGCATTCCCCTCCCTTCCTCCTTTCACCTCCAGGTCACCGAACCTTGCATCCGTCACCTGGCTCGTGCCCTTTCACGCTTACCATGTTCCACCCCTCTCCCAGAGCCTTGCATCTGTCGCCTTGGCGTTGCCCTCTCACGCTTACCACGCCTCACCCCCCTCACTCTCGTGTGTGGCGGATATGCCATGTGGCAACATGGCAAGAAGAGAGGACCTGCAGGCTCAAAAACCTCCCCCTCTAATAACATCCCCCCTTTCTCCCTCTCTTTCCTTTCCCCCTTTCCCCTCCTTTCCTCCTCTCCCCTCCAGGTCACAGAGCCCTGCGTCTGTCGCCTTGGCGTTGCCCTCTCACGTTTGCCTCGCCTCACCTCCCTCACACTCGCTCACAACGGGTAAGAAATGGCGGTTCCTTTCGGGGAGAAATTGCAGGGCCTCTCGGGGGGAAATGGCGCCCCACATTTCTTACCCGTTGTGAGCGAGTGTGAGCGATAGCCAATATCATTGCTCAGGCTATCGGAGCTACGAATTCCTTTAGCTAAGGTTGCCTACTCTACTAAGCAACCTTATCTGGACAATCTTGGACCATATGGTGACAGCAAAGGGTGACCTTATCTGGACAATCTGGACAACCATATTCCAGATGCCATTTCACACCTGCTGCACCATATGCCCTGCCCTGCCCTGCCCTGCGCCATATGCACCAGATGCCACCCTCCCTTGTTCTTATGCCCACCTTTCCCCTTCTTTGCATTCCACTCGGTGTTTCCTCCCGGTACCTGGGTTAATTCCTCTGCCGTCACAGCAGTCACCCTGTCCTGTCACGTCACCCTCTCCCGCCATTCCTCATATCCCTCGCCTTTCCTTCGCCCCACTCTGCTCCCCCTTCTCCCCCTTCCCTCCCATCGCAGACTAGAGGCTCTCCCCGAATCTCTCTCCTCCCTCACCGCCCTCCGCCATCTCGACCTCTCCCACAACCGCCTCTCCTCTCCGCCCTTCCACCTCACGTCCGCCCTTCCACATCTCCAGTGAGTTTCATTTCACGCTTGGAGTGAGTTTCACACCTCAAGTGAGTTTCACACCTCAAGTGAGTTTCACGCCTAGAGTGAGTTTCACACCTCAAGTGAGTTTCACGCCTAGAGTGAGTTTCACACCTAAATTGAGTTTCACGCCTTGAGTGAGTTTCACACCTAAATTGAGTTTCACGCCTAGAGTGAGTTTCACACCTAAATTGAGTTTCACGCCTAGAGTGAGTTTCACACCTCAAGTGAGTTTCACGCCTATAGTGAGTTTCACACCTCAAGTGAGTTTCACGCCTCAAGTGAGTTTCACGCCTAGAGTGAGTTTCACACCTAAATTGAGTTTCACGCCTAGAGTGAGTTTCACGCCTAGAGTGAGTTTCACGCCTAAATTGAGTTTCACGCCTACAGTGAGCTTCACGCCTAGAGTGAGTTTCACGCCTAGAGTGAGTTTCACGCCTAGAGTGAGTTTCACGCCTAGAGTGAGTTTCACACCTAGAGTGAGTTTCACGCCTAGAGTGAGTTTCACACCTCAAGTGAGTTTCACGCTATGTGGCAAAAGACGCGTCCTGCGTCTAGGACGCTTGCGTCCAGACGCAGCGTCTTAGACGCAGACGCTAGATGAGGGCCTTAAGGACGCATGGAAAGACGCATGCCCGGGCAGGGCAAAAAAAACCCCCGGGCAGCTGTAAAAAAAAGTTATAGGTCTTGGGAAGGGGAAGGGGGGGGGGACCTTTGCACACATTCTATGCAGAATTTTCCCCAACAATAAAACCTTAAGGGTTTACTAAGGAGAATTGGGGTTGTGAATGGAGGGAGCACAAATGAGATGTGTGCAACCCTAAATGGGTTTGGTTGGAGGCCACAAAGGTTGGATGTTCTAGATGTAGAGTGGTTGGGGGGGTTGGGTTGGGGGCTTTACAAATTTGTGTAGAGGGGTTTGAAGTAGTTGGGGGGGGGCTGTTTTCAATGTCGAGTTGCTTTTGGGGGGTCGCTTTTTCGCGAAATTGACATTCGCGTCAAATTCGCGAATGTCAATTTCGCGTTTCGGTAATTTTTTTATCCAGGGGCAGACCGGAAAAAAAAAACAGGGTGCGTCCTGCGTCTGGACGCGCGTCCTGCGTCTCTGCGTCCAGACTCAGGACGCAGCAGGACGCGTGCGTCTTTTGCCACTTAGGTTTCACGCCTAGAGTGAGTTTCACAACTTAAGTGAGTTTCACACCTCAAGTGAGTTTCACGCCTAGAGTGAGTTTCACACCTAAATTGAGTTTCACGCCTAGAGTTAGTTTCACACCTAAATTGAGTTTCACGCCTAGAGTGAGTTTCACACTTAAAGTAAGTTTCACACCATAAGTGAGTGAGTGAGTCCTTGGTAAAGGGCACAAGCAAATACCTGACAATACACACTCATTGCACAACCCCCATAAATTATGCTCATTGCACAACCTGCCTCTCCTCAATCCCAGGGTCTCACGTGCACCTGCTGTTGGCCTCTGCATGCTTCTCCCTGCCTTCCATACGCTTTAAGTTTTGGATGGTCTGTGTCTCTTTCTTCCCATTCCACGCACTCCCCCCGTCCCCTGACAGGTCTCTCATCCTCTCCGGAAACCCCTGTGCTCCCTCCTCCACACCACCACATAACCCCCCTCTCCAATGAAGGTCAATGACCCCAGCCTTGGTTGCATCTCCCGTTTCGCTTGAAATCTTCCAGAGCCTCTCTTCCCCGTCTTCCTTGCCAGAACCACTCACCACCGCTTGACTCCCCTCTGCACCACTCCAATGAAAATCAAAGACCCCAGCCATGATTTTATCTTCCTTTTCACTTGAAATCTCTCTCCTCCCCTGCTTTACTTGCCAGAACCTCTCACCACCACACGTCCACTTTCTGCATCACTCTAATGAGAATCGATGACCCTTGGGTTCCCATCCCATTCTGCTGCTGGAAGTAAGATACGTAATTTCCTGGGCCTAAAATCTTAGGTGCAGCCTAAAACCGTTTGTGTATTATTGTAAGCTTACTCAAAGCATGACTGGAATTATTCGCAAGGTTTTGCAAAACGAGCTGGTATTCGCAAGGTTTTGGTGACTGTCAGGGCCTCAGATTCGTTTTTGGCTTGGCTGATACGTCAGCCTTAGCAGCCAACGTTAAGCTGATCAATCAGAGTTGGTTGTAAAAAAAAAACTGAAAGTTCAGACAAGTATAAAAAAAAAACGCTGACTAATCAGCCTCACTTAATACACTCTGGCTGATCCATGTTGAGCACTTTTTTCATTAAATTTAGCAGGCATAACAGGGAAACACTACACCACATACATGACATTAGCTAGCTGCTCATTTCATCTTCATCACTAGAACAACCTCCTGCATCTCCTACTGGCTCCTCCTCATCATCTACATCTACTGGCTCCTCCTCATCATCTACATCTACTGGCTCCTCCTCGTGCTTGCCCTTCTTGTTCTCGCCTGGGATTGGGGTGCGAATGGGAGCATTGCTGAAAGGCTTGCGCTTTCTGTAACTCCGCCAGATCTCAACTACCTCATCGTAGTTGGGCTTGTACTGCATGAGGGACAGACACATGAGGTCCCCCAGCCTCGCGTCCTTGATCCCCCCTCTCCGCCATGTCTTGATCACGTTTTGCCGAGTGAATCCCCTTTCGCACTCCACAGTGCTGAGGGGAATCACAGCCACCGCCACCCAGAGCTGCACCAGATTGGGGTAGCTCTCCCGCCAGTCTGGCGTCTTGAGGATCGCCGATAGTCCGCTGTGGAAGCCCCTCTCTTCCTTGGGGGCACGTGCAAGGACTGAACAGAAGAGGCGAAGCTCCTTGCCTGCCTGCCTCTTGTTGATGCCTGGTGGGAGGGAGGGAGGGTTAAGATGAGGCACATGACATGAGCAAACAGGTGCACCACAAAGGATTTTCAAGCATGGATACGATATCAAAGGTTCACAAAGGCGCCACAACAGACCTGGCAAGATGTCCTCACGGTCCTGAGCCTTGAACATCGTCACCAGCGACTGAAGCCACTCCAGGCAACGAGCGTTCCGCTCAGACTTGCTTTGTGGCCATGCATCTGGTGTGAACAGGCGGACTCCAGAGAGGGAGTCGAGATCACCGAGCCTTCCCTCCAGGTTCGCCACGATCCTCTCTGCGAACTCGGTGCACAACTGGATGCACCCGTAGTGGTCCTCCGGGCCGCTGTACGAGTCCACGGGCTCGTCGTGAAGGGTGAACGTGATAGAAGATGGTCGGCCGTCACTGTCGACACCTTCCACCTTCACTTCGCGGCTACACCCCGGGCCATGGCGCAGCAGGAAAGGTGACAGCCACTGGCTCATGCCGCCGCCGAAGTCATCGCCGCAGTCCACGTAGCGGCTCTCGATGTGACGCGTTGTCCGCTTGATCTGCGCATGCAAAGACACCAGATCGAGCTGGACAGACAGAGGCACACAGTGACACAGTTAAAAGGGTTAATGTGGGGACATGCGTAGCTATATTCGCACCACCTCACCTGTTTCTGCTGGAAGGTCTTGTTCAAAATGTTGAGCTGCTCAAGCACATCAGCCAGGAAGTAAAGGAAGAAGTGAAAACGGTAGGAGCTTGCCAGTTTGTACATCTTGCTGTTAAGCTCCTTCAGCAGCACAATCACTGCCGGCAAAACAGCGACAAGGCGACGAACGGCATCCCCCCTTGACAACCACCGAACGGAATGGATGCCTTGCACTTCAAGGCTCGTTTCGGTGATGACTTCCTGCAGGTCCATGAACCGTGCGTGGCGCGGTCCCGACCGACCAAGCAAATCCGCCACTGCCCGGATGAGATCGTCGACCATGTCGAAGACGGGGAGCTCCTCTGCTGCATCCTTCGCTGCAAGTGCCTCCCTGCAAGTACAACATCAAACTCAAGACGTTAAACACGAGCTCGAACCACATGGCGTAACGGGCTGGAAACGTAGCAGCAGAGCTCACTTACCTGTGAGCGATGCAGTGAACGGAGACAAGGTGCGGAATCTTCTGTCGCAGGCGGACAACCAGGCCGGCCTTAGACCCCATCATCACTCTTGCGCCGTCGGTGCTAATGCCAGAAATTCTCTGTAGATCGACACCGACGGATTGCAAGTGGGAAAGCAGGATGCTCAGAAGTGAAGAAGCGTCCGCCTTTTCCACCGTGATCAGCTGCATGAACTCGGTCACGAGCACGTTGTCGCGGATGAACGAGGCATACAAGATCATGTGCTTCCCCCGGAGTCGATCCGTGCTTTCATCGATGCAGATGCCGATGAAAGGGCTTGTCAGGATGTGCTCCAGCTGAGTTGTCTGTAGCCAGGTAGCAAGGGCCTGCGTGAGCTCACCGAAGCCGTACCTACACGCAGGGAAACCAAAGACAAGAGATTAGAAGAGGGTTTAGGGTTGAACATCAAAACATCAACGCAATACAAATGTGGCTACTACTCACGTTGTGTAGTAGGTGCCATATCCCTTCTTAGGGTAGCCCTGGACACCCTTACGCGCGAGGTACTGCACCAGCTTCACCCATGTTCCCATTGGCGCATCGCAGGAACTGACGAACAGCATGGAGTCGAGCAACGCCACGGCGCGGTTCTTCTCAGCATCGATGGCGGCTCGATGTTGGTCGATCCGTGGCTGCTTTGAGGCCGCGTTCAGCAGAGCCTCTTGCTTCTCCATCGCCAGCCTGTGTTTCGTCGTGCCGGCGTGCTTACGAAACGCCTGCGTCTGCACGTCGGTCGCCCCTCGCCCTGTCCGGCCACATCGCCCCCTGACTCCGGCATGCTTGGTGCAGACACTGCACTTAAAAGCAGGGAAACCAGATTTAGATTTGGTTAGCACAAGCCACGGGAACCTCTCAGACCACTTGGTTTTGTACTTCAAAAGAGCGTCTGCATAGACTGCCTCGATGGCCTCTGAAATGTCTATGACCAAGGATGGAAGAGGGGCTGTGTTGTTCGCGACAGGTTGCTCGACGGCGGTGCTCGAAGAAGGTTTTGCCCAGCTCAGCGTCGACTGCTTGAGCTTGAAGTTGCGCGGGCCAGTGGACTTTGTTGTTGGCGAGTCGAGAACCACCGTGTCGGAGACGGCAGCCGGCGCAGCAGGCTCACCCCGGATGGAATCCGAGCTTGAAGAAACCGGTGGGTGGTCGCGGTGCACCCTCTCGACTAGTGCTGGCTTTGCAGTAGGAAGCCTGGGAGCGAGGACACCAGGGGCAAGCGAGCGCAGGAGCATATCAAGCCCCGTCCTGGCTTCCTCTAGGCCGTCTAATTCATCATCGTTGCCTGCATCATCATCGCAACCTACGCCTTCTGCAAGGCCGGCCATGGCTGAAAGGGGAGAGCGTGCCGAGCTCCAACGTTGCTAGCTAGGGTTTGAGAAAACCAAGGCGAGAGGCGTGGATTGACAGTGCAGCTCGCCTAGGGGGTGGGTACGGTGGGGTCATCAAGAGAGAGCCATAAAAGAAGGCCCTCTCATTCTCACCACCCATCAGCTACGCGGCGCGACGAGGGGGCACCATGCACGCACTTAGATGCAGGTTCAGGGTGGGTGAGATGGGGTGAGGTGGGTGTCCTTGTCGTGAGTGCGTGCGGTGCGTTCCTGTGCTGCACTGGTGGCGGGTGATTGGCGCATAAGGGATGTGATTGGTTTACCAACGAATCACATCTATTTAAGCATTCTGTCGGTGACAACGAAGCAAACGACGAGTCGGAAATTCGTTTTCCCCCCGCGTCGGCGCTGTACATGGCAAATTTTGCGTGATTGACGGTCGATGAACCTGGACAGCCGAAACTCACGGCTCCTGCACGAATCTGTAATAGCGTGAATTCAGCCTACACTCTCGTTACAAGTCTGATAAATCAGCGAACACTTGTAAAAAAACGCTGGATAATCAGCCAAAACATAAAAAAAAAACCTGAACAATCAGCCAACACATTAAAAAAAAAACTGAACTTTCAGCCAGCACATCGCCCACATGTCTGTGAAATCAGCGTCCAGACCCTAAATCAGCCTTTTTTCGCTGACATCTGAGGGCCTGGTGACTGTATTTCATTCAAGGCTGGATCTGTGTACCGTAATATAGTTGGATTGATACGAGATTTTGGTATTTTTTAGCCACCAGGCCAGATTTCGCAGCCTATCTAGACGCGAAGGTATGCATTGCCTAAGACCTCTTAATGAAATATACTGATCCTTCTAAATACACAGTATTATAGTTCAAGATAACTAAGATCCGACTACTATTGCGCCAAATATTCAATTCTACTGCTTTTGATCTTGTTAAATCAAGTGTTGGACTGGCTCACTTACAGCTGTGTTGAAGCACCTCTTGTACCGCGCCCTTGATCATGTTGCAGACGACGTTTTCAACAACAAAGCAATCCCACTTTAGATCTAGGGAGGGATACCAGACAAATCGTCTTGCTGCTATCAACGCCCAGAAACAGCCAAGTATTTCTGTAGATCGCCTTTCGTAAGCTCGTTAGGCATCGAAATTGCTAGTTAGTCAATAGCTCGTCAGCCGTAGGCTCCCCGCGTCGTTACGAAGCGGTTTTTTCGGCAATGGCGATCGAGGATTCGAAGAAGCGCAAAGCGGAAGGAAAGGATGGCAACGGCGCGTCAGGCTCGGCTCGTCACCACACCAGGTTCGAGGACCCGCCCGCGGCGCTCACGACGCATCAGGCGCGCATGCTCGTGGACGTCATGAAGGACGGCGACGTTCGCGAAGCGCTCGTGAGCGCGGCGATGTCGCACAGCGCCGTCGCCGATGCGATCATGGAGGTGGTGGGTCGCGACTCGCAGCAGCGGCGAATATTCGTGCGCGGGCTCGACTTCAACACCACCAACGAGACGCTTCGCCGAATCTTCGAGTCGTTCGGCGACGTGGAGGACCTTCAGGTGGGGGGCTGGGATGAAAGGGAGGATGGGGAGGATGGGGAGGATGGGGAGGATTGGAATAGGAGGACGGAGAGATTAGGCTTAGAGAGGGCACGGTTTCAGCCCATATTATGAAAATATTAAGACTTTGATGGCATGATGGCAGGAGATCGGCCCGTGAGAAGGCGGGATCAGACCGTTCAAGACGGCGGATTGAGTTTTAATTTTTGCAGGATCGAATTATCAGTTTCAGTTCCACCCCATGCCCCTCATCTCCCGAGTTTTTTTGCGTAACAATTTCGCCCTCTCCCGCATTGTCCCCCGTCTCCCCGCCCTCCCCGCCCTCCCCGCCTTCCCCGCCCTCCCCGCCTCCCTGGGTGCGCGCAGATCATCAAGGAGAAGGGGACGGGTCGCTCGCGCGGCTTCGGCTTCGTCACCTACCGCTCGCTGCGCGGCGCCATTCGCGCCTTGGAGGAGCCCTCCAAGCTCGTCGACGGACGAATGGTCGTGTGCCAGCTGGCGACGCTCGGCCCGGGCGGCGGCTCGGCGAGTGCTGACGTGGCGGCACGTAAGATCTTCGTCGGGAACGTCCACGTGGAGCTGTCGTCAGAGCAGCTGCTGTCGTTCTTCTCACAGTACGGAGATATCGAGGAGGGCCCGATCGGATTCGATAAGAGCACCAGGAAGAGCCGCGGGTACGCGATCTTCGTTTTTAAGACCGCGGAAGGTGCGCAGAATGTTCTGCAGGAGCCGAATAAGATCATTCACGGGCATCAGGTGTTTTGCAAGCTCGCCGGGGAAAACAGAGGCAAGCAGCAGCAACAGCAGCAGCAGCAGCAGCCGGGGCTAATGATGCTACCGGGGGTAGTATCGGAGGCGGAGCAGCAGCAGGGGTATCCGCAGATGGTGTTTTATGGGGGGGACGCGCAAGCCGCCGCTTACGCCGCCGCGTACGCGCAGCAGGCGCAGGCGCAGCAGTTCCAGGCGGTTCCGCAGCAGCAGCAGGTGTACCAGGTGGCGGACGTGTACGCGCAACAGGCGCAGGCGCAAGCACAGGCGCAGGCGCAGGCACAAGCGCAGGCGCAGGCGCAGGCGCAGGCACAAGCGCAGGCGCAGGCGCAGGCGCAGGCGCAGGGGCAAGTTGCGCTGCAAGCTCAGTACTACCAGCAAGCGCCCGTCGCCGCAGCTTATCAGCAGCCCGTAGCTGGTTACCAACAACAGGCCGCAGCTGGTTACCAGCAACAGGCCGCGGCTGGTTACCAGCAGCCCGCAGGTGGTTACCAGCAGGTCGCAGCTGGTTACCAACAGCAGCCTGTGTACGTAACCCCTGCTGTTGCCGCCCCAACTCTCGCAGCCCCCCCCGCCGCCCCACAAGCGGCGCAGTTGCAGCCTGCGCCTGCTGCGCCCTCCCCCCAGGGTTACCCCGCGCAAGCGGCGCCCGCGCAGGGCTACTATGCGGCGCAGGGGGCAGTGCCTGCGCAGGGCGGATACGTGCAAGCGGGGGTTGCGCCACAAGGGGGGGTTTACTACCCGCTGCAGGCACAGGCGCAGGGGCAGGCTCAGGGGCAGATGCAGGGGCAGATGCAGGGGCAGATGCAGGGGCAGGCGCAGCTACAGGGGCAGCAGCAGGGAGGGAAAGGCGGCGTTGGGGAAGCTTCCCCCCAGCCTGGCGCAGCAGCAGCTGGAGGGGCTGCGGGGCGGCCTGGTTACCCGGTAACACCGCAGCTGCAGGTCCAACAGCAGCAGCAACAGCAGCAGCAACAGCAGCAGCAGCAGCAGGGGGCAGGGCAGCAGCAGCAGGGGGTGGTGTATGCAGGGTACTATGGCGCACAGTAGCTGCTGCTCAAGAGTCGTCTGCTACGGTGCTGCTCGGTAGGTATGAGTTTGTTGATTGGAGGTCTGCTTCTGAGGCGCCTGAAAAGGGGCTGGAGGCGCCTGATTAGGGGGTGGTTCTGGCTCACAATGAATGTGTTGAAGGCTGGTGGGAGTGACTGCAGCATCTGGTAGTGGTTGTCGGTGACTGCTAGCGTCTGTTTCCCTCTACCGTTTGCTGCTTGCGTCTGCCGCTGCCGCGTTCACGGAGGTTTGTGTTGGTCCCGCCACACGTTTGCACCTCTCCCTGAGCTCCTCCTCGCGCTCCTAGCCCAGCTCCTATCTCTCACCGCTTCTTCACAAATCTTGTTTCGCCTTGTTTTCTCGAGTCTGCCTCTGCTCCAAGCCTCAGGCAGGATCCGCATTCTCTGTTTCAATTGGCTCCTGGCACACTCTTCGGCTCTGATTCACTCTTGTTGCTATCTCTCCTCACCTCTAGCCTGCATCTTTTCATCGCAACCGGCAACTGGCTCTGCATCTCAGTTTGTTCCGGCTCTGCTCGCTCCGCACCTCTTACCTGCTTCTTCTCGTCGCCTCTGGCTGGGTCTGCCCCTGCCTCTCAGTTTGTTGCGGCTTTCGTCGCTTCTGTCGCTGGCTCTCTGCAGTGGATTGTTCCACTCTCAGTCCTCTTCTTTTCTTACACCGGCTGGTGCTATCATCTGACAGTCCCTCTCTTACTCTCTCTACCGCTAGCCTCATGATGACTCTCTCTAGTGGGGCCTGCTTCCGTGTCCTTGAGAATTCTCAAATGACTCTCTCTAGTGGGGCCTGCTTCCGTGTCCTGTCTGTTGAACCCTAGCCTGGTGCTAGGCATGCTTCTCCTCTTCTCTGCCATTTGACTGATTAGCCATGTTTTATAGTTCTTCTCCTTTTTCAACGTGCCATGATATTTCTTTTTACTCTTTGCCTTGGAAGTTGGTCGTGGTAAACTCCTTAGGCTTTCCGAAACTGTTGGGGGGTATAACGTTTTTCTTTTGCTTTTTACTCATGTTAAGTCTTGTCTTGGGCTCGTACGGTAGTACCATAGTATGCCTCTCCATTCTCACTCCATGATTCTTACTGTTTAAGGTGTACGTTTGATCCCATGGTTTTGCGCTCGTTGCGTCCTTCTCTTCTCAATTGTTTTTCAAAGTCCGATTTTGGCCGGATTGCCATTTTCCTGGTGTGCAATGCAGTGCGGTTTTTTAATGAGAAAGCCCGAATGGGCAGTAGTAATAGCATTTCAGGAACTGCACTGCACCAGCAAATATCAGGCTGTTCACTCATTTTGCAGATTGCATGCAGAAATTGGTTGTAGTAATTGCATGTGACTCTTAGCTGATATTAGAAACAAGCAAACACCACGCAGTAATGTGTGCACAGCACCGTGCACAACCCACGTAATTCTCCAGGCTGCAGATCGAAACCTGCGCGGCGAATCACCTTGAGGGTTATGTTTTAGGATGAACCCAGTATGGCTGTATCGCAGCAACCCGCTGCGAGGAATTGTTTCCGGCACATTTCACGGCCTTGTAGTTTGCATTGCGGTTCCAAGCGGTAATTTGAAAACTTTCGAGGTTGGATTTTGACTGGCAACTTCACGTTGCGGAACTACTTTGCAACGGTCATATTTGTTCTCCCAGCCCTCCAGCATGACATATTTGTTCCTTGGCTCGCATGGTTTTAAATTTGGATTTGTCAGCCATTCGTGCTGCTGTCACGGCTGCTGATACGCCTGATACGTCTGCTTATGCTTCCATTAAAGCGTTTCAGTAGCTAAGCAGTCGATTATATTCCCGACACTAATTTCTCTCGGGAACGTTTGTGAACCACCTGAACGAGCACTCTTACCACTCTTCCAGTCACGGAGGCTGACAGCGTCTGATATTTGCCATGGCAGACAGAGCAACCATAGAAGCGACGCTCTTCATGTTCGAGATACAAGTTAAGCAGGTTCGTGCTGTGCCATGTGCAGAATGTGAAGATTTTCCGGTGCGGTTAACTCCAAGATCATTATGCAGCACGGTTTGAATCTTCAACGTGCAGCAACGTAAACGACGATCATCAACATTTTCGCCAATCCTAATCACCGGCATTGTGCTTCTGATCATGAAGCGACCAAATCTCTATTATGATGAACAGCAGTGTCAGTCGTTATTAACACCGATGTCAATCATGAACTCCAGCAATGTCTAACATAACTAGTACTATGAACACCGATTGTCATTATCATGCCGCAAGCGTGATGCTCAGCGATGTCTATCATAGGTATCAGCAACGTCTATCAAGGCCATCTGCAGTACCAACCTGGATTATCAGCAATGTCTTGAATCATGCTCAGGCAGCTGCGCCTCCGAAGTCAGCATGCAGCGATTCTGATCTGAAACCTCATTATGGGCTCTCACGTTTCGCATGTCACGTTAATAACACTTTTCAAGTGTTGGAATTGCTTGTTCGTTCCTTGCTCTGTGACATGGACCTTTGCAGCTACATGAGAACAAAGTCACTGATCGTTTCAACACCTCCACCGACCGTGATTATCCAGAATATGTTCAAGTGTCTCTGCATTTCGAGGAGATCGTTGATCCGGTGCGTTCTGTGTGCATTTCATCTACATTTGTTTCTGCATTCGGGACAAGTGCTGCTCAAGTAGAGATGTCTAACGTCGTATATCTGTCACCGGTTGATTCAGGAAATAGATACGAACGAGACAGTGCCAGGATCAGAGTCTGCTGTATCATGTACAACCTGCTGCAGTGACACGACCAAGTGTGATATCAAGAATCGTGATAGCTCGTTAAAAGATTTCACCATACTGTTGAAGAACAAGGGGATCGACCTCAGCAATGAATGTTTCCACGTCCTTCAGGTGCGGTGTTTCTATAGTTTATTCGTGTCTTATTGGCTGGTAACAAATATATTTGCAAGTATTACAAGCTGTAGATTACAACTGGCTTCTAACAAGTGTTGAGGACTGCAGGTGGAGTTGGAGCGGGTTGCAACAATGACACCAAAGGCGCAACAGCCTCAAGAAGAGGGTTTGTTGGAGTACCTTGAGAAGGCTGTTGGAACAAACGAGTACATCGAGCAGATGAAGGAACAAGCCCAACGGTAATAATTTCTCATTTAAGCACCGATGGTGCGAGAGTTTTTTTTTTTTCAATCCCCTTTTTCAGTAATCAAAACATTGGTGTAAGTACCACTAGTCCGCAGAAATGAAACAACTCGAATCCTATTACCAGCAGGTTCTCCCTGTGGCTGAATGCCTCTGTTCCGTATTGCTCCGTCTCTCAGAGCACTTGATTTAGACTCGTACTGCTGAGTGCTGTCCTTCATGGGATGAATTTGAACAAGATAGGTCAATACAAGGCTGGGTGCTTGATTGTGCTGTCCCTACCCGCTCGTCTGACCCGCTTGTCCGCCATAATCCTTGTTTTCCTGGCGCCTTGTCTGCTTGCCTCCTCGTCTGCTTGCCTCCTTGTCTGCCTGCCTGTCTGCTTTTCTGGTGTGTACAGGCTGGAGGATCTGAATGCGAGAAGGGTGGGCTTCACGGAACGAATGCAATTCGCGGAAAAAGAAAAGGACCAACTGGAGGTGAGTGCAGCATAGACACTATGTGGGAAGCATAAAAGATGCAATGGAGGAGAAATAAACACACACCATGCACTATAGGAGGAACACTTGTATGTTGCACATGTCTTAACGCCCTCCTGTCACCGATTCCCTTAACCCAAACTGACATGCCCTCCCCTTTTTATCATGTTCTTGTTGAACGAGGGCAAACGCAGTGAGAATGATATGGGCACACGATCTTTCCTTTCACCCACTCCCACTTCCTCAACCAACCCCATCGCTTGCATGCCCTGGGCTCCAGGAGCACAAGAAAGCGGCTGAAGACTTTCTGCTGAAGGAGGCGAAGCACACGCAGCTGAACATGGCGGCAGTGTATTTGCTGCTGCAGGATATTGAGCAAATAAGGAAACGGTTCATCACTCAGACCGCAGACCTTGAAAGGGAGATTGAGGAAGACAGGTGAGACGGGGAGCTGGTGTGCAGCAGAGGATTGGCGGGAAGCGGGTTGAGATGTTCTTGTTGCTGCAGGAGGGCGTCCACTGTCGAGCAAGGAACGGCAGCAGGCAGGTGACTCTGAAATAGGAAACGCACTGAGAAGTGTCAAATCTTTATGCATATTCTGTTGTCATCCAGTGCATGGTGAATTGGTTGGTTGGAGTATTGGACAGAGACTACAGCAGGCCATGAGAGCCCAAGGAGGGTTTTCGTCAGACGCTGAGGGTCTGAGCCCACTGACTGTAGCACCATTGGATGCAGGAAAACGTTGTTCGTGCTTACAAAAGAGTTGAAGTGCAAAACAGTTGCTTCTGACAAATGCACAGAGGAGCTCAATGTGAGTCTTGAGGGCAGCGTCTTAGAAAGAAAAGAAGTGGGAACTTGGCCTATATATATATATATATATTTGGATCAGTCTTCCTTCTCTTCCGTTTGTCTGGCTTCGCCTTTCTAATTTCCCCCTGTCTGTGTTCCTAACATTGCAAGCTTTCTTATCAGGCCCTCTCCAAAGAGCTGCGGGCTGCTGTTGCAGAGAAGAACGCACTGGCGACGAAGATGCCTGCCTGCAAGACAGGCAAGGTGGGTGACTGAACTATACGGATGGAAGTTAGGCGTGGGAAGTTAAAGGTCTGGTTGCAACTGCATCTGGCAAGTAAGGCCAGACGTGTAAGGACGATATCTCAAGTACGAGGCACAGTTTGTGATATGAGATATTCTTTGGTATTGAGATGACCTGTTTTTAACATAATCACGCACCTTCCAATCACATACCACCTGCTCACACAACAACCACTACCGCTCTTGTCCTCGTCGTGTCTCCTTCTCATTGTGTCTGCAGGAGAATAAATATCCCAAGAAAAACAAGATTCTGAGCAACCTGACGGAAGGCACGAGCAGCAGAGGCAAGGATAGGAAGCAAAGCATCAAGGAGGAAAGGAAACTGTCCTTGCAGATGTTTATAGTGAACGAAAACTGTAAAAGATTGACAAAGGTATGTTATGGGGTGAAAGGGGGAAGGTTATACACGGTTGTAACGTGGCTTATAGCATTGAACAGCAATTTCAGTTGAGAGAGAAACGAAAAAGGCTTTGGAATGCATTGCAAGGATACCATGCATGCTCACACCTTGCTCCTTCCCCTTCTCCGTGTCACTTTTCTCCATCCCTCGCAACCGCCTCTCTGCATGCCTTACAATGCCGTCTCGTGTTTCTCCCTGCACAATCAGAGTGGTGGGGTGCTTGTATAGAGGGGACTGACTTTGAATTCACTTCTCCCCCCATCCCCTTCCCCTGCTTGCACCTCTCCTGGCAGCTAATGGACCGCAAGCAGGAGGAGAGCCGTGACAGGACTAGGGAGTTGAATGCAGCTCAGAGCCAGTTTGAGAAAAACGAGTCTGGATTGGTGAGTGAGATGGGGGCAGGGGAGGTGAGATGAGTGCAGGGAAGGTGAGATGGGCGCAGGGGAAGTGAGATATTTACAAGAAGAGAAGACACACTTGGGGTTATCAAGTGGGAGATGGATAAGCTTTAGGATTTGTGCAGAGCCGAATGTGAATCATTGTCATACAATGGGTTTATCTTTCCTCCCATAACATTCACATTGTAAGCACACACTCTCATTCTGTGTGTTTCCACATGCCTTCCCCTTCTTTTCTGTAACCGTTGTCAAATGGATGCTCAAGGCACATTCCATATTAGGCGAAGAATGAGGGAGGAAAGGCCGATCAAATCACTGCACAAAAAGGAAATCGGCATTACGCACTAGGCTCGTCTTTCTTTTTCGCAATTACACTGGAAGTCATAATTTCCTTTCCTCACATGTCCCTCACTCTAAGTTCTTCTTTGTTTGTCCTCTTTCTTCATCCACACGCCTTCCCATTCTTTCCTTCAACGCCACACACCACACAAACAGAAAAATGCACTTTTGCAGCTTGAGGAGTTCAAGCGCCATCAGCGAGCAGGTGCGAGCCATTCAAGCAGGGCAAGGAATGTGCTCAAGCGTTACGCGGTGCAACTGTCATGCCAGATCTCACAGTGAGTCCGCAATCCCCAACTCTTTGCCTGCTGCTCGCTCCTCTGAGCAGTGCCCATCTTTCTCTCTCTATCTTCCGCTCGCAACTCTTTAGTTTTTATGCACTGCCATACCTGAGTCTCGAAGAGAGCTATTCTCTAAGAAACTTCAAAAGCTGACAACTGTCAAGCAGTGCGTTAGGCATGTGATCGAGTGTGGGTATGTACAAGGCAGGCCTTTCGTCCCCCTCACAACACTGAGGTGTGCATCTCCTTCCTTCTCCTCCCGCCACCCAACCACCCTCCCTTCCCCCCCCTCCGCTCCTCTCCCCTCCACCCTTTTGTTGCAGCATGCAGGATCAACGTGTGTCAGACGAGGACATTCAAGAGGCAGGCCTTCCTCACACTTTCACCTCCGAAACTCTGGGCGAGTGGTTAGAGGCAGCAGGTTGGGATTCAGTTTTTATTGAACCAGAGGCTGAGGCTGAGGCCGAAAAGGGGAGTGAGACAGAAGAGGTGCCTGAGACTGCAGAGGGGAGTGCGAGTGCGGCGCCATGTCAAGTAGCCGAGGCTGTGGCAGAGGCATCCAAAGAAGATATGCTAAGACTGGAAAGGCTAGTAACCTGGCTGTGTGGTAACCATATGATTGCAGAAGCTACCGACGTTGAGACGCAGTCAAAGGTGCAGTCCTCGGCAGAAGAGCTCATGGCGCTCCGGGAAAGAGTCGACATGGGCTGCATTGACGAGTGAGTGAGAGTGTCTTTTTGTGTCAGTTTGCAACTGGGAAAAGCGTGGGTGAGAGTGAATGACTGAGTGTGAGGGTGACTGTATCTACTCTGATCCGATTTCCTGCTTTGCACTTGCTCAGGTACAACAAAAAAGAGGACATTTATTTCGAACGATTTTTGGAAGCGGCCGATGTGACGCTGGAGAGGAACGCTGTGAAGCAGGAGCACGAGGAGCTGATGAGGCAACGGCAGGAAGAGTTCACAGCAGGCCTTGATGCAATGAGGGTGCGGGTGAAGGAGATCTACAAGATCATGGTGCCAGGTGGCGACGCTGACGTGGCGCCTGTTGACCCGCTTGACCCGTTCAGCCAGGAGATTCTCTTTTCTGTGCGCCTGCCACAGCAACAATGCTGGAGGAGCGTTGCTGACCTTGTCGGAGGAGAGCAGGTGAGAGCATCTTATTCGCCCCGTGGCTCTGCCAGACCCTCTTAATCCCATGCTTTGGCCTTCGTAGTCACTGACTAAATCCTACAATTCCGTTCATGCTGTAGCACAGCTTTTTTTACTGTCTTCAATTCCCCCAACAGTCCATCATGCCTCATCCCTGGGAAAAGCTCTGGAGACATTGTGTATAAAAATGCATCACATTGCCCAACCCTTTCCCCCTCACATTTCTCACATCACACCACGTCGCAACCCATCACATCCCATCAAATGGTTTCGCTTCACACCATGCCACATCACGTCACATCACTCCATCACAGGCACTCAGCTCCCTGGCATTGGTCTTGGCGGTCCACCTATGCAAGCCTGACTCGCCCTTCACCATTGAACTTGATGCTGCCATGGGTACGTTCTTAATACCCTTATCTGCGAGGTTGCTGGTAGGCGTTGGTAGGTGCTGGACGGTCCTGGTACTAGTGCCTGTTACAGCATGCATGATTGGCATTGTAGACCGGCAGGATTCTTTCTAGATTTCGCATATCTAGCGTAATAATGTTGTAGCGCTCCATATTTCGCATCTCAATCTCTCCCAAACCCTGTTCCTAGCAGACTTGAAGAGCACGGTCCATTCTGGCTGACTACATGGAGCGGCATGCCATGCCACTCAGCACAAGAGCACACATGCAACCTAGCCTGATCCCTAACCCTGTTTCCCCTTTGTAGCCTTAACAAACGCATCCATTCTGGTTGAATAAGACACAGAGCAGCATGACACACACAAGCACGAGTAGATGTAGCCGCAGTACAGCAAG